ATAGAATGAAATAAAGGCCATTTTTGAGACTTTCATCAGTCCAGAAATTAATGGCACGAATGAAAAAGTTGAAAACAAAAACTAATTAAAATAAAATTTTCGTATTGAATTGACAGCAAAAACATTATCTGTAGTATATTCGACAGTATTTTCATTGAAAAACAATCAAAAATACATAATTGCAATCCTAAGTAATGAACTTGTTCAGAATACTGATCAGAAAGCAGTTCGAGAATGAACAATTCACTATCGAAATCATTATGAAACACCGAACACAAGCGTGAAAACTGTTTTCGAAACAACCAATTCAGAAATGAGGAAGTAATCCCAATTTATGGTACTGAAATTGCATAATTTTTTTTGCAATTTTAGTACTATAAATTGGGATTAGTTGCATAAGTAGGGAGGACTGGATCCTCCGGGAGAAGGAAATATTAAGAGCAGATAGTTGTTGGTTCACAAATGGATAAAAAACACCTTCCTGTTCTGGTGCAGATGTTTTTAGTCGCAGACCCAGGACAGAGATATCAACCTGCCTAGGAACCTAAGTGACTGTATTTCAAGCGGAAATTTACGCTATTGAATTGAGTGCGGAGAGATTGGATAAATCCAACCTCACTCACAAGTCAATAAAAATATTCTCGGACAGTCAAGCGGCATTGGAAGCTCTTGGCTCCTACAGAGCAACGTCTAAATTGGTAGCAAATTGCCAAAAAGGACTCTCCTCGATAGAAAGACTTAACAGATTGTCTCTGGTCTGGATTCCTGGCGATACTGGCCTGGAAGATAATGACTCCCTTGCAAAGAAGGCAAAGAAGGGTGCTGCAAGCAGCTTCATCAGACCAGAACCTGTCATTGGCATCGCTTTAGGCTTTGCCAAACAAACATTGAATACCTGGATTGCAAGAAGATTTATGGACTTCTGGCAGAATCTTCCAGGATAGGCTCACTCCAAGGCGTTTATCCACCCTTCGAAGCTTGATACCAAACAATTGTTGGACTACAGTAGGGATGAACTACGATATCCAACAGGCCTTTTTACTGGTCACTGTCATTTGAATCATCATAAAATTGCATAATTACGAGTGAATTGAGGATGAAATTCACCAGCTCTTAAATTCTGAAATAACGTATTCGTTTCTGTTCTACAAGTCTAGTAGGTACCAATACACACTCATGTATTCGTAATAGCACTCGAGATTGATTAAAGTTTCATTTGCCAGATATTGACCCTAGAACCCAATCAACACTTTGTATAGTATAGTAACAAACCTACACATACGCACACGCTATATTAACTCAACGTACTGAGTCACACCTTTATTGATGACATAATTACATACCATAAATAAGGCTTATCCCAATGAAGTCACTAAAGTCAGTCGTTATATTGAAGCTTTAATATTGACATATGATGTGTGAAGATGTGTGATAAACCGCGTGAATTATCTATTTTAATTCAGGTGGTATGAATTGATAGAGTGTGTGGAACAATTTTACAACTGGAAACATTGACATGACGGGCTCGTTCCGACATTTGTCGGAATGAATGGGTGAATATTTGGCAAGGGCCGATTTAGCTCTGTTTATTTTTCAGTTTACGGAAGGCTATATAATCAAAAAAATAAAGAAACATTGAGTTGTGAAGAAAAGAGAAATGAAACTATCTATGTTTTTTACCACTTTTATTTGTAACTAACGTTGTTGCAGTTTCGTCCTATAAGGACACTTTCAAACTTATACATGTATAAGTCCACTGAATCAACTGCAGAAAGAGTTCATGACTAGCTGGAATTATATTCGTTTGGTCGTGTCTACGAAGAAGTTGAGGACCGAACTGTTCTGCCTGATGAACAATTTGCCTTCAGGAGAGAACACTCCACTGAGTTACAGGCTCTAAGGCTGGTCGAAAAACACCATCCACGAACTGAACACCAACAAAAAAGTGCACATTGTTTTGCTAGACATCTCAAAGGCCTTCGACCGTGTGTGGCACGAACGTCATCTGCATAAACTAATCGCATTCGACCTGCGTCGGAGCCTGATCCGGTGGATTGGGTCTTTCCTGGAAGGCAGAACATTTCAGGTTAGAGTAGAAGGCTCTCTGTCTGACAACAGAGAGATCCNTACAGTAGAAATCATCAAAGGCGATGAGCCTTCGGATATAATTAAGAACAGGTAGCCATATTTTATTCATCTCTATTCCGTCTTTGTTTCTTCAGGAAGTTGAACTGCTTGTATACATTTCTGTTGCCTCTTTGACCAGCAGTCACACAACTCATTTTATTGAATTGGTCATAAATGCACATATCTTGTAGTTGGTGAAAGAGTCATTGATTTTGGTACTTTTTATACTAATAATTTCTATTAACTCACGGTTGGTAAACCATGCACCCGAATCATCTCATCTTTTCCGACAATCCTTCGATGTAGGGAAGTCCAAGTACTGGTTGTGAAGGTTCCTCTCCTTTACAAGGATCTCGCTGTTTTTTTTAGCCAAACTCTGTTCCACCATCACCTTGGAGTAACCATTCCGTTGAAGATCATTTTTGATACTCCTGGTTCCTTCTTGAGACCTTCCTTCGTATTAAGGAGCCTAAAAACACGGTCTTGATGATTCCTCTTTCAGTAGATTGATGGTGGTTGGATTCGTTGGGTAAATTTTCGTTTAACAGATGTTTAGTATCGTTCCTCTTCACTAATACGCCTAAGAATGTCAATTCAATATGGACTTCTTTATCCATTGTGAATATGATTGAAGGTCTTATGCTGTTGATGTGCTTGATGGGGGTGTCTAGTTCTGTATTCCCATGGTTCCATATCATGAAGGTGTCGTCAACGTATCTCAACCAGACTCTGAGATTATTGTAAGCTTCTTCAATGGCCAGAGTTTCAAACCACTTCATATATGTATATGTTGGCTATAACTGGTGAAAGTGTTGATCCCATTGGCAATTCCAAATCTTGCGTAAATTCGTCCTTCAGTTGGAAATAGCAGTTTCGTACACAGCATCCTAGTAATTCCATGATTACTTCTATGAGTGAGCTTGTTCTATCTTTCAGGTCTCGGACTTCGGATAGCTTTCTCTGTATGATTTGAAGTGCTTCTTTGACAGAAACGTTGGCCTTCCACGTCGAAACAGTTGATCTTGTGACTTCGTGTGCCCCTAGTAGTTCGACAAAATGCCTTAAATTCTTCACAAAAGATGAAGTTTTTCCTTGTGATGGTTATATTATCAGCAGTGAAAACCTGGACAAATTTTGAGTAGCGGGTCGGGTTCGATATTTCTGTATTATATAGCATATATAAGCGGTAAATTGAGTCTGAATTATGTCTAGACTAAAAGAAAGACATATGTTAGCCTCCGGTGTTTTATTTTCATGGTACCGATTTAGAGAAAGGGACTTTGTCCTTTTTTTTACACAAGAGGATGACCTAGTTTTCTGCAACAATGTACCCGGCGTAATGAAAATGTTCAACATAACGTGTGAACCAGAGAAATGAAGACTTTTCATCAATTCATCAAAAAGAAGTTTGAAAGTTGTACTTCTTCACAATGGGAACCAGTATGCTTCTGTGCCTGTTGGACACTCAGTTCATTTGAAAGAATGCTACGAAAATCTTGAATTTGTTCTTAATAAGCTCAGCTACTCTCATCATAAGTGGACCATTTGTGGACACTTGAAAGTTATTTCAATGTTACTATGTCAACAAAGTGGTTACACTAAGTTTCCATGTTTCCTATGTGAATGGGATATCCGTGACAAAAAACAACAACTATGTCAGACAGGTCTGGCCAATGAGAAAGGGTCTTATTCCTGTTTAAAAATGTTGAAAACCAAAGTTTAGTGGATCCTAAAAAAATCTTATTTCCACCACTCCATATCAAGTTGGGGCTGATAAACAGTTTGTGAAAGCATTAAACAAAGAAGGAGATTGTATTAAGTATCTTTCTGAGAAGTTTCCTGGTCTATCGGATGCCAAACTGAAAGATGAAAGCTTTGTCATTAAAATATAAATGAAAGAAAAAATGCCTGAAATACATTTAAACTTGTTATAACAGGCTTTCTTTGAAACAAAAAGACCCAAACTACAAAACTTTGGTTGCTGAATTGATACAAAATATTAGGCTGCAACATAAGTGTTGAAGTCCATTTCCTTCACTCATATCTGGACTACTTTCCCGAAAATCTACGGGGTGTAAGTGAGGAACAAGGAGAACGGTTCCATCAAGACATAAAAGAAATGGAACGCAGATACCAAGGTCGGTGGAATGTTAACATGATGGCAGACTACTGTTGGATGTTAAGAAAGGAAAATGCACAAGAACACAGCCGAAAAAGTGCCAAAAGAAGCTTTGACGGAAAAAGAAAACGTTTTTACAAAGACTTATAATCACTATCACTATTATGCTTTGTTTAGCTAAGTAGCATTGTTTTTTTGCTTTAACTTCATGTTAAAATAATAAAAATAAATCCACAATTCCTTGTTTTTCTGTACTTCTTCAATTATTTCATCCTTATTTTGTAGGCAAACCTTATGCGATAGATAAAAACAAATGTCATTTTTGAAATCAGCGCAAAAAACTACATAAAGATCAGTTAAGAAAATCAAAACAATTCTTTAAAAAGTTTTTTATGCAGACATGTGAAATCGAATCCACATGTTCCTAGAAATGATATAAAATCGAGAAAGATCAATCTAGTCAAGCTGCTGAAAAATGATTTGATCAAAATCAAAATATAAATAGATAAGTACTATTCTGATCAGTCCCATATTGATTTCAATTTGAGAGCCACCTGTGGGCATCGTTAGTACCAGGTAGGTGGTTCTCGATTGAAGACAAAATGTAAATAACGAAAAAAAGTACTTGTGTACCAGAAATATCGATAGAAGTATCGCTTACATTTATTCCTAGTTTTCAATAGTTTCCACTTCAAGGATTGATACTTTTTTTGTCAATAAATTTCTTAGTTAAATAATGTAAATACTCAAAAAAGTCTTTTTGTGACAGACTGTTGTTCTTGCCAAAATTTATTCAATAAATTCAAATCAATAATTGTCAATTTTCATTATTCTCAGTTTCCGATGAATTATTTCGGCTATTATCATCTATCAGATACAATTTCATTTTTGTCTGCTTCTTCAGCTTCATTATTTTCAACATCTCCACTTATTTTTGGGACGTCATCTTTCTGCTCTCCCTTATTACCTGGCGGACCTTTATCTTTAGTTACTTCAGTTTTAGTTACAGGTTTGGGTAATTCAGTAATAGTTTCGTAAGGCCTGGTGAAAACATCATATGGAACGAAGTCACTTGGGACAGGCCAAACTTTGTCTGAAAAAAAATTGTCAGATAATCATACATTCGATTATTATTGAAAAAACCTAACAAAAATAGATATGATGAGGATATTTTTGTATTCTTCAATATGCCAAAAAACTTATTTTTTTTGGGGGTTGTAACTACAGGCTGATTCACGGTGGATGGCACATTAGACGTTTCTGGTGAACCAGACAACGGATCACTTTGAAAATTTGATGGAAAGCATATTCGGACATTCTCTAGCCAACTAAAATATTTTCGACAATGCGGTGTTGCCGCTTCTATTAGAAAGCAGTAGCAACTTTGATTTTTCAAATGGAACACTCTGTATATAANGAGAATGGAAGATGAAGAAAATAACTTTTTTCTAATTTCTACTACGATTTTTATTTTTTTTTTCGACCGATTTTTGTTTATTAAACTATTTACAAGTTCATTCAATATGAATTCCTACAAGATGAACAGGTCATCTATCAAACAACATTTACCAAGCTAATATTAACTGTGTGATAAGCAAAAACAAGAAATAATAATAATGATGAAAATAATGATATTCATTTCTTTGGTTGAAAATTACAGTTGAAAAAGAAACAATGCACAATAACAAAGAAAATGTCAGTTCCAAAAGTAAATATAAAAAACATATAAACGTAAATAACTACATGTAACCGTATTATAAAAGTCAATCAAAATGATATAAACAACACAATAACACAAACAGTCCAATAGTATTGATGAACATACATAAATAATACAAGTATAAATGTTAATAATAGTTGTAGACTATAAAAAAGGCAATACAATATAAACAACACACAATTTCTTACCTAAAGCTTTTCGCCCACTTGTCCGGCACAGCACAGCACGGCCCGTCCCGTCAAAATACGGATAGGATTGGAACAGTGGAAATGAATGGACAACCGTCCACTAGCCCGGCACGGCTCAGCCAAGAGCGTCCGCCGCCGGAAAGAAATCCAGCTCTCTGATCCTGTCCGGCAAATAACGGTACGTGTTGTGACGGACTGGCCAAGTGAGCGCGTCGCCGGCCAGCGCTTGCCAGCATGAACTTGTTCAAACGTGTCTGGTAAGTTTATATTTCTCTGTTTTGCTATTTCATCAGTTGGCACCACAGTGTCAGATGGTATCTATGAAAATGAACGAGGAAAAATTGAGTTGCTCATTAAGGCAGGCTCTAGAATATACGAAAGTTCTGAAAATTTGCCTCGTCTTCTTTCAGGTCGTTGAAAAGATGATGAAATTTTCCCAGATTTGCCCTCTTTTGAATAATGGGATGAACCCAAATCCTCCTTTTTTTGTAACAATTTTCTTTTACATTCAATAATGCGGCCACTATAATGACGACTTTTTCGTTAGAACTGCTAGTGATACACATGTGTCTGTCACCGCTCATTGTCGATTGAATTCTTCTTGAAATCGAACAATCAGCACATTCAGTATGCTAGTTGTAGCTGGACAAGTGGGCGATGCTACTACCCGTCGCCATCAGGCGACGGACAGCGCCGTGCTGTGCTGTGCCGGACAAGTGAGCGATAAGCTTAACACAAACAGTCCAGAAGTATTGATAAACATCCAGTACGGCTCAACCAAGAGCGTCTGTCGCCGGAAAGAATACCAGCTCCCTGATCCTGTCCGGCAAATAACGGTACGTCCTGTGACGGACTGGCCAAGTGAGCGCGTGGCCGGCCAGCGCTTGCCAGCATCAACTTGTCCAAACGTGCCTCGTGAGTTTCTGTTTCTCTGTTTTGCTATTCCATCA